GTTCAGAAAAAGCCATGTTTTTAGTTCATTTGGTTCACAAAACGAAAATATATGTTTTCTGGTCAAAAAATGCCGCGGTAGACCTGTGAGCTTAAAAAAATGAGTTTCGAAGACGTTCAGAAAAAAACCTTGTTCATTTGGGTCACAAAACAAAAATTCATGTTTTGGGCTCATGAAAAACCCGCTGGTGTCTTCTGAAGTTCACAAAAATGATTTCGATATCGTTCAGGAAAAGCCATGTTTTTAGTTCATTTGGTTCCGATAACGAAAATATATGTTTTCTGGTCAAAAAAAACCGTGGTTGACGTCTGAGCTTAAAAAAATGAGTTTTGAAGTCGTTCAGAAACAAACCTTGTTCATTTGGGTCACAAAACAAAAATTCATGTTTTGGGCTCATGAAAAACCCGCTGGTGTCTTCTGAGGTTCACAAAAATGATTTCGATATCGTTCAGAAAAAGCCATGTTTTTAGTTCATTTGGTTCACAAAACGAAAATATATGTTTTCTGGTCAAAAAATGCCGCGGTAGACCTGTGAGCTTAAAAAAATGAGTTTCGAAGACGTTCAGAAAAAAAACCTTGTTCATTTGGGTCGCAAAACAAAAATTCATGTTTTGGGCTCATGAAAAACCCGCTGGTGTCTTCTGAGGTTCACAAAAATGATTTTGATAAGGTTCAGAAAAAGTCATGTTTTTAGTTCATTTGGTTTACAAAACGAAAATATATGTTTTCTGGTCAACCAAAATCGCGGTTGACCTGTGAGCTTAAAAAAATAAGTTTCGAAGGCGTTCAGAAACAAACCTTGTTCATTTGGGTCACAAAACAAAAATTCATGTTTTCGGCTCATGAAAAACCCGCTGGTGTCTTCTGAGGTTCACAAAAATGATTTCGATATTGTTCAGGAACAGCCATGTTTTTAGTTCATTTGGTTCTCATCACGAAAATATATGTTTTCTAGTCAAAAAAAAACCGCGGTTGACCTGTGAGTTTAAAAAAAATGAGTTTCAAAGTCGTTCAGAAAAAAAAACTTGTTCATTTGGGTCACATAACAAAAATTCATGTTTTTGGCTCATCAAAAACCCGCTGATGTCTTCTGAGGTTCACAAAAATGATTTCGATATTTATGAACACTAGTTTCATGTTCAACATTTCAAGCCTGAAGTATTGGCAATAAACTGCGAAGAATTCACGTTGCTTCTTGATCCGGATCGAAAGATGCCAGTTTTTATAGTGTGAACATCTGCAAAATTTCTTTATGTTGAAACTCGCTTCGTTTGCAAAAATTAGAATTAAATGCAACTTCCATGAAAGCGACCGCATTTGGAGCTTCAAGTGTTTGGCTATTGACTTAGGAAGTACCTATTTGGTGCATCTGATTTGGACCAAAAATGCCTTTTTCATGTACAAAACTTGCGCTTGTTTTAGAGAGCATTCCAGTAACTTTCGCTTTGAAAACAGTCCCAAAACACAAAGTGTTTTATCGGCTAAGAAATCGTACGTTCTCAAGATGAATGAAAAATGGTAATTGCATTAAAATCAACATCTTAGTCAGTCTAAGTCTAGTGGGTATTTGGGTTTCAACATCGAAACCCACTGATCCATATCACGATAGAAAAAATTAATTGTTATATACGCGAGACGGAGACCGAAACAACCATGTCACTCTTTTAGAACAATTTTTGTCCAGCACTGGAGTCTGAAGAATTTTTTGTTTAATTGTTGAGTTGAGAACGCAAAGACCAATTCCAGATCATTAATGCTGCCAATCAGGGTCAATAAATTTGTGCTTTAAAAATAGTCGAAAATGCGCCCGACAATTCATCTCAGCGAGTTGTCGCGTGATTTTTATTTGCCTGTAAAGCAACAGTGCAATTAAACGGTAATTTCTATAGTCAATAAAGCCCGGAAAGTGGGTCGTTAAAACTAGACTGTACGTGTAAAAGCACACTTGCACGCCAGGTAATAATTGCAAGAATTTGCATATATTTTGGGCAACTTTACTAAGTAAGTAAATTTACCCAAACAAAAAATAAAATTCACGTTTAATAACGACACATCTTGTTCTAGTACTACGACTGGGAAAACACCAATATAATCCTGTCCTCCTTCTACTGGACCTACATAATCCTGCAGCCATTTTCCGGCTATTTCTTCAAGCAATTCGGCCTACGAAAATGCTTGATGGGCACCATGCTGTTCAACGGCATCGCATTTACTCTCATCCCATCAGCAGCGGCCAGTTTTGGATCTATGGGCGTTATCGCATGCCGGTACGACTTTTAGCAGTCAATTAAAACAAACCAGGAAGAATCCTCATATGCTTAATCGCTCATAAATCATTGCAGTTCTACACCAGCCAACACCGAACGTGATAATCACGTGAAAACGACCAAATGGTCCCGTCAAATCGACGTCAATGAAATGACGCAACGTTGYCAGCAGCACTTTTCCTTTTGTWACAATTTTTTCAAAATTTTCAACTTCGACACATAAAACGTTTAACTAGTTTAATCAAATATTGTGTATTATTACAAATTTAAACAAATCTCCTAAACAGTCTGATGATGCCTCAAAAACGAAACTTTTGACACTTATTTAAGGACTAGGTACGCCAAATAAAAGTCTTGCGAAAATCAATCCCTAACTTGATCACTTTCTGAGAAAGAAAGTCTGAAACATCGGCCTGCATAAACAAGCGCAGAACACAAACAAATTTTTTAAATAATTTGTGAAAATTCCCTGAAGGTAATTCAAAATCGAAACGTTTTCTACTTTGCGTTCTATAAATGTCATTCAAAAGTAAATCTCTAACTTCACAAATTCCTGAGTAAATAAACGTGAAACTTGCTTAAATGCATATTTTTGTTAATTTCAAAAAAATTTCAAAATTTCTGAAAATTGCCAGTGACTGAAAATCCAAAAGTTGAAAGATTTGTAGAACCGACTTTGCCCTACAAAATACACACAAAAGCGACTTTCTGACTTCACTGGTTCCTGATTCAATAACTAGCAAACTCAGACTTCGTAAATGAAACACAAGTTTGCAAAGTTGTCAAAAACTTCCTGATAATGGCTAAAAATCGAAACTTTGTTCACATACAGAAGAGGCTGTACCCTACAAACTCCATTCAAACTCGACTTTCTCTGAAATAGAAGTGAAACTCCAACTTGCAAAAACCATCCGGAAAACCAGACACGATTTCAAAAATTCTTGAAATATGCCTGATGATGAATGAAAATCGAATCTTGTTGCTCTGAGTTCATTAGTTCCTGAATCAATAAATGCTAAGGTACGACCTGCAAAAACAACCTCGTAAAGCAAACATAATTTTCAAAATTGCCAAAAATTATCCGATGATGAATGGGAATCGAAACCTTCTATACTTACCTGAAGGACGTTTGCCCTACAAACTACCTACGTTGTCGCTTCGCAAGTTACAGAGAAAAGAAAAGCTACCGACGTACAAAAACCAGACAAAATTTTGAAAAATTCTTGAAATTTGCCTGATGATGAATGAAAGTCGAAACTTTTTACTTGGGTAGAACAAACTTTGTTCTACAAACTCTCTCAGTTGGTCACTTTCTGGATAAATAAATGCTAAATTCCGGCTTGGAAAAACAACCAAATCAAACCCAATTTTCAAAAATTGTCACAAATTTTCTCGTGGGGACTAAAAATCGAAACTTTCTTTGCTTATATAAGTCACATTACGCAACAAAATGCATGGCATGTTGACTTTCTAACTTCGCGAGTTACAGAGGAAATAAAAGTGAAACTCCCACCTGAAAAAACCACTTCAAACATCCGACAGAATTTGGAAAAATTTTTGAAAACTGCCTGACGATGACTGAAAATCGAAAATTTTAGCCTTGTTGAACATACGTCACACTGTGAAATACATCAAAAAACAACTCATTTCGATCGTTAATGTCTGAATAAATAAATAAATAATACCCCGAAAATATAAAGCAATTTAACAAAGTTATGAAAAATTATCTGATGATGATTGAAAATGGAAACTTTCTTTACTTCTATAACGGACTTTTTGCTACAAAATGCATGGAAAATTGACTTTCTGATTTCGCAAGTTCCAGAGGAAATAAAAGCCAAATTCCGCAAAAACCAACACCACAACCACACGCTATTTTGATAAATTCTTGAAAATTGCCTGATAATGACGGAAAATTTAAACTTTCAAAACAAAGCAACTCTCTCAGTTTGTTATTTCTTGAACAAATAAATCACCCGGCTTGCAAAAACCAACTGGTTAAGCAATTTTGAAAAATTGCAAAAAAAGTTATTGATGATGACTAAAAATCGAAACTTTCTTCAGTTATTGAAGCGACTTTGTCGCATATAATTGACTTTCTTATTTAGCAAGTTGTAGAAGAAATAAATGCCAAATCTGAACTAAACTTCAACCCGAATCATACACACTGTAACACAAGTTTTCATCTCCTTTGATTGGATCATACAGAAAAAACTGTTTTGTTTTACTTAATCCTGAGGCAAAAAGTGTCAGACTCCGGCCTGAATCCATAAGAATTTCTTAACAATTAACTGAAGATAACATCAATTCGATTTCCTCTAATAGAACGCGCTTTATCGTACAGAATAGCATCAATTTCATATTTTCAGTTTATGTTTTTTTATCATTAGCGTAATAGAACTAAATCTGCTACGAACGTAATAGTGCTGGCAACGTTGAAACTACGTGTTATAGCGGCTCTTATGAACGAAATTGTCACATGCCAGGACCTGATTATCCCGTGATTTGACGTCAGAGTGCTGGCTGGACAGCAGGAAGAATAGGGTGTTTCCACTTTTTTTTAAATGTTGATATATAGAAAGTAGTTATGGCAAACATTACACTGATATAATTTTTTTT